TATGTAAATAACAAAATAACTTAAAGCAAAAATTGGGAAACGTAAAGTCCGAAGTCTTTATATTAAGTGCCATCAGTCAAACAATATTGTTTGGTCTGGGTCTAAACAGAGCGCGTTATGTGTGAGGTCTTCTTTTGCGCATGCGGGCCGCTTTGAGGGTTCACACTAGAGCACGCTTGCTGTTGCATTTTATTTGTAGTGTGAACAAGCGGACAAAAAAAAAAAAAAAAAATCGGATTTGATCAGAAAATCGGAATTGAGCATTAAGACCTGCAGTGTTAACGTAGCCTATATCCATTGTAGAGCTTAATCTCTTGTAAACAATAACGTTGCGCACACCTTTGACCTTGCATGACTAAATCTAAATTTTCCTCATCCTCATGTAAACACAAAAACTCAGTTTTTGAAAATTTCCACCCTGACAGGAGTTGTTAAAAATCTCCATTTCTACTGATCGAAAACGCCATGTATGTGTGGACGAAGGGAGGGTTATCAGAAATACCCACGTACGTAGCCTGAAACAGATTAGATAAATTAGTCCAACAAATTTCAAATTAAAAAAAGACCACTTTGCCTAAAATACCATTTGTCAATTAAACATTTGTTATCTTTATAGGGAGTGCCAGGCTATGTCCACACGTACCCGGGTATTTTTTGAAAACGCAGATTTTTCTATGCGTTTGCACCTTTCATCCACATGTAAACGGCATTTTCGGTCACTGAAAACTGAGATTTTTAAAAACGCCTGCCAGGGTGGATATTTTCAAAAACTCTGTTTTTGCATTTGAGTGTGGACAAGGAAAATGGAGAAAACGCAGAGTCAAAGGTGTGCGCCTATTTTGACGTCACACTGGGCGCCATGTTATTGTTTCGGTGAAATGAATTTCTACAATGGCGGACTTAGACAAAATACTGTTAACTTTAATATCTGCAGTGTTTATACTTACATATACAACACAGTTGCCGTCCCTCCACACATAGGACTCTGTTCTGCCTCTATGTGTCACGGCTGGCGGAGTGAGCCGTGTGGTGTGGAGGAAAAGGAGGACCCAAGATGCAGCAAACTGATGATACAAGTGATGTTTTATTTACAAAGGTGGTGGTGGCAAAAACAGGCAACGAGGTATGAGTAATTTACAAACGGAACCCTAAACTGGGAGAAACTAAATGACAAACCTAGTGATGGCCCGCTTGAAGCTGAAGCTCCGGTGCGTGTGTCAAAAAAATCAGCACACTGCTTCAGAAGCACTGTGTCGACGCTTGATTCGTTTGGCCAGAGTCACATGATCAGTGACGTCCGAAGTTTCATTTAGAACCTAACTGCTTCGGTAGAAAAACTTCCACTTGACTCTTTACATGTAATGTTGTAAAATATATATTTTATTGTTTAATCTGAAAACGTTAGACTGCCAAATGTGCAGCAATTTAATTTATTCTTTTTAGCTGGGGTTTGTGGCGCCCAGGTAGACTGTATAACTGCATCTCTACCAGTTTCTTTGCGCTCCAGCCTCTTCTGTGCCATGTGAAGGGATTTTCCTTAAGGCAGGAGAAATTATCTCCACGAAAAGGAACAGTTCTGGCCATCGCACACTAGAACAAATTCTCTTCTTAAATACAAATGGAAAAGGGCTACTTTAAATGCATCATGTTTTTAATTTGCAAGTTCATAAGCATTTTCCCTTTCCATTTCACAATCAATTCTACCCCCAGGTCAAAAATATGTCTGGGAAAATTTCCCTAATATAATATTATATATACACATCTCTCTCTATCTCTACTCGTCTAGCAGTTAATTGCATAAATGCATGGAGGCAGGACCTCACAGCAGAAGCATACTCCACAATGTGTTGTACATTATTATATGTAACGTGGTATTTTTCAATTATTGTATTTACCAACATCAAGAAGTCACAAGCAAAGAAAGACCACACAATGGTGCATGTTTAAACAAGGAGAGTTTACTGGTCAAAATTATTTATTAAACAAATAATCCATATTTTTTTTAAACCACCAAAAAAAATACACGTTCAAAGCAACACAACGGCGGCCCAATATCAGATAGAATTCCACTCTGTACAGTGGGCAATCTTAATGAAGCGGTTGGTTTTATTTTGTGGATTCAAGCGGATCTTCATATTTTTGGCCACCAGATGTCACCAGAGAGGACTGTGTTGAAAAGCTTCGAGTAATGAACCGTTTTTCAATACAAGCTTCAGTGCTTCAGAAAGCTTCATTTGGCCATCACTAGACAAACCTGAGACCATACAAAGGGGGTGCGGGGCAGAGGGACGCAGAGACAGGACACCATGGAACGCAGATGAATGCAGAGATACGCAGAAATACACGGATGAATGCAGACGAGCCGACAACCAACACAGACCGACACCCACTAAATATACACACACAAGGTAATCAGGTAATCACACACAGGAGGGAAGAACAGCTGAACCTAATACACATGAGGACCGGAGGAGACAAGCTGAACACCATGACAACAGACACAGACCTTCAGAACAGAACAGGAAATCCAGAACACAAGCCTTCAAAGTAAAACAGGAAACACAGACTGATTTACAACACAACACGGGGACATGAACAGAGCACCAAGGACAGACACAGGTAGGGCTGACAATACACCAAACTACAGGTTCAACCCTAAACTAATACAAACCAGAATAAACACAAAACGCTGGGTCAACGACCCAGGACCATGACACTATGTGCCATCTTTGTGTACTCTTTCCCACCCAGACTTCTAGACTTCTGATTGGCCAACATTTCTACACGGTTAGGAATATATCGCCACTTGTTGCTTTGGCATGTTTACATGTGGACGGGATTATTTTTTAAAACGAAAACGGAAAATCTCAGTTTTCAAAAATACCTGTGTACGTGTGCACGTAGCCCCAGTCTCCAAGTGTTTTAAGTCGATAAATATGTACTTAAAAAAATAATGACAAATAGAAAATCTGTCCATGTGTACCAAAAACATACATCAAATGCTTAGGTAAACTACTGTGCAACAGTTGAACTACAAAGTAGAGAAGAATGCAAATATACAGTTACAGCAATTCCTTAACTTACAAATTTCAAACCATACATAAAATGCATATTTATCACGACATGCTGTTTCTGTGATAGATCCCAACTAACTTATGTGCAGAGGTTAAATTATGAACACTATATATATTTGAATTAGCTATGTCTTTCATTTTAGGCTATCATGCTTGTGTTAGCTAGCATGTGCTAGCTAACACAGCTTGTGTTAGCATTGTGCTATATTGTTGCACTAACAAGCTAGCAAGCGTGGCTTAAACAGCCAGATTTACAACAAAAAAAAACCCCAAACATGAATAATTATCACTGAAAAGAATTAACAAACTAATGATACCTGTTCACACAAAGTATTTTCATCGAGATGGTTGAAGACAGATTCACTCTTTGTCACGTCCTGCGGAGCAGACCGAGTGGAGTGAGTGAGGTGGACCCAGGTGCATACTGACTTTAACCTCCTAAGACCCGAACTTATCCACGGCATGCATTTTAAATTTCTCTTTGATATTTGGGCTCATTGGGACCCGATAAATGTAAAAATAAAGAATTACCAGATTTTTTTTTTTTTTACCTAATTTTTGTTTCTAAGAAAAATGAGAGCCACATATGAGGATATCTGTTTACATTTTCCATAAAACAGTAGCAGTATAATGTCCTTGTAAGTGGATATCAGGCCCTTGTAGAGCAAAATTCAGTATTTTGGTCTAAATAACCCAAAATGTGATGTCCACGTATGTGGACGCCAGGTCCTAGGAGGTTAATGAAAAACAAGCCTTTATTTTGGGGCTAACACTCACAGACAAGAAGCAAGGCAAAATGAGGGAACATCTTTCTTTCTTTTTTTTGTCTTTGCCTGTCCCGTTCGGTACTTTAGCAATCACACTTGTTGTCTGAAGGACAGGAAAGAGCCCAACGAATTTATTTTTTCAATCGGAGAAAATATGCCAATGCCATGTTGTTCCACTTGATTAGTCTGTATTATCATTCTTTATTTATGTTATTTTTTTAAGTTATTACAAATTGGACAGACATACGGAAAGGGAGAAAGAAAGCAAAGGGGTAGGGGAGACGGTAAAAGAAGACACTGCGAAAATCCGTTGGATCACCCGTCAAAAGAAGAAAAGAGAAAACAAACAGCAAGAGAACAACATGATAGAGACAACAACCTAGATACATGTAAGTAACAGTAAATACTAAATATTGAATGTTACTGAGTGGCACGGAGGACCGACAGTGCACAATATGCTTTAAGTTAGCAGCCAAGGAAGATAGGTTTGTGTATGTGAGCGCCTGTGTGTACACCTGTGTGCGTGAGCGCGTTTAAGTTTAAAAGGTTTCTCCATCTGGGGGTGTGAGGGAAAATCTAATCTTAAACTAGGAAACTATAAATAAGACTTTCACTATGACTTGACAAAATTAAACTGGATGTGGGGTAGGTAACACAGACGATGCAACAATGAACAAAGGGAGACGGAGGACTTTGTTACGACTGTTGTTGTAATGTTGTCTCATATGTAAATCTGAGTGTACAGGTTAGTGATGGGTCGGTCGTGAATGAAATGGCTCTTAGAGCCGGGTCCTTATTAGGAGCCATGGGTTTTTTCTCTTTCTCTTCCTCTCTCGCTCTCTCACTTTTTTTTTGCTTCATGCTGCACGTTAGCCTTGTGTTTGGGCTGAGCAGAGACGGGAGACACAAACAGAGCCTTGTCTTTGTGCCCGAGGGGACAGGGGCGGTAGTTACAACGCAACAGCAGTAGCACACGAAAAGACCAGGAGGGAGAGAGAGAGAATGACAGAAACAACAAGAGACAACATCATTACATTAGAAAGTTGTGTTAAAGAAAATGAGTGACACCAAGAAAAGAAGAAAAATCTGTAACCATTTCAATTTTATTGAAAATAGAAATGCTTTTCTGAATAGTTGCTGGGATGCTTAGAACTCAAAATTCACTGCTTTAAATAGTTTATTTTGATGCACATGCTGTTTTCTTTTGCAAAGAAAGCAGTCTCCATTGTTGACATACCATCACCTGATGTCCAGTAACATCGTATCATCATTCCTTTCTCTGGCTTTTTCATAATGTAAAACAAAGTTTACACTTTAAATTGACTTACATTACATTTTCTTCTCTTCTATCTTGTACTTAATTGTCACTAATTCCAACACAGATAAACATTCAGCCACATATGAATACACTTTAAGTTAACATTAAGTTTTTGCTATTTTAGTTCACATACATTTGTCATTAGTTCAATCCCACATGAACATCCAATTTCAACGTGCTCGTTCTTATTCATTTTCTTAGGAAAACTTTTCCTACATTTCTCTTCAAAACTCAGTTTTTGTCAATCACCAAATATTATAATATAAAATAATAAATAGAATCTTTTTTAAATCAGAACATCTTGTATAAAGTGTGATTTTCTGATTTTGTTTAACTTGTATTTTTCTTCTCTGGCAGAATTTGTGATTTTCATGCACTACTTAATGTGTATCCATACTTAATAAAAAATACTTGATAAAAACGTTCATGTCAGAGCAGAACAAAGTATACATGTTAAGACATCCTCAACAACCGCATTACGGATGATGGCTTTTAGTTGGCTTTGATGGTTGCATCGATCCAGTCCACAAACTTAGAAACTTGAGTGTAAACACTGGCCGTCCTGCCCAACGTACATCACTCAGTCCATGTTGCGACACCCTGAAGGACAAATCTGTTCTGCTCATAACAAACCGGAGGACCACCTCTGTCACCCTACAGGTAGGAAACACAAAATAGATATTAGATAGTGGATACTTTACTATTTTACTCACACAGCTGTTTTTGACTGATGCTAAAACCAAGCTAAGAAAGTGTCAGAGTCTGCGTGTGGAGAGAGGAGAGCGGACCCAAATGCAGACAAAATGAAGCGTGGAACATAACTAGATTTTAACGAAAAGGGAGCTGTTCATTGTGGCTGTTAGAAAGGTGCAAAACAAACCTAAAGTGGAAATAAAATAAACATAAACATGAAAACCTGGTGTGGATGGGTGGATACCTGGAAACAGGGTGTGAACACAACAGACAACCTAACAATGGATGCATGACAACAGATCACATAAATACTAGGGGTGCAACGATACACAAAATTCACGGTTCGGTTCGATACTTTGGTGTCACGGTTCGATATTTTTTCGATACAAAAAAAATGTTCATGCCTTTTTAATTTGTCATTTATTAAAATTATAAATATATATTTTAACTCAAAAGTACAGTTTTTAAATTTAACCCTAACCCTTGTGCGTGTTTTTTATTTTGACAGCGAATGCGCACCTGCGGACCACTTATGTGCAGCCCTGGTTATTTAGCTCATCATATCGCAGCCACAGAAATTCTTTTGTCCATGAAACCATAAAGCTGCACTTTCTTTTTGCCTTATAGTCTGATTTGTCATAACTTCTCCGTTTTGTGGTAAGCTTTTCTTTGGCTGTCACTTCTTCACCCTGACCTGTCTTATTTGGCTCAGCAGAACTGAAATATATATCCTGCTGCTTTTACACACGCACTCACATAAGCTCAGCGATTCTCTGCGCGATCAACCTCTCACATGTTTAAGCTTGCTGCGGAGATTTCACTTGTCATGTTTGCATAGTAAGCTAACGATTGATAAGACGATGTCAGAGGAATTGGTGCAAATTATCATCACTCACCAATCAGTACTGTCGCTCTCTATACACAGTTCGCGCGATTGCAAAGTGAAAGCAAAAAAACAAGCGCAAATTCAAACGCGATTTCAATATGTCACATATTGACAGTGGCTCACCGATGCCAATGACATAATTACCCAGCTACATTTCCGAAAGAATGCAAAAGCATTGACATATATTTTTCCTTCCTACGATAGCCCGACGGGCAGGGCAGAGATAGATTTTGGTAGCCCGACTGGAAAAATCGCTAGCCCCGGGACGTCGGGCTAGCGATATTGCGAGCCCTGTATCTGATTGAGGAATCACTCATCTTTGGAAAAGAGAGTTTATTACAGAGAAATGGCTCTTTCCAAAATAAAAGCTATACTATACGCTTCTTCTGGGCTATATTCTCAGCAGCATATTAAACATATCAGGTCCCCATAAGGAGAATCATGTGCTAACGGCTGTCTAAATGACTCGGGTAAAGTTTGTAGCATGCATGCTTGTTGTTTTTGTCTTTGCACTAGGATGATGTCGGCGTAAATGTGCAGTCATATTCGTTGTGTTCCCACTAGTGCTTTCAGGTTAACCTCGTTAAAATGACCTTAACGCCACAACACGGCAAATCTCCGTTAACGAGCTACCCCTGATAGCCCCGTGCATGGGGCTAGACGGCCAACACGTTAACGAGCTAACTGCGCTAACACACTAGCTCCCACCCATGTAATTGAGCATTGCGTGGCACATCCAACATACTGTTTTACTTTAGTCCATGACGCGCTTACCTTCAGGGTCATACGTCACATGAAAACCAAAATAATTCCAAACGCCAGATCTGAATGAGGGTGGGGAGGTTCAATTTGCCATGTTGCAAGGAGAGCTTAACTTCTGTCTCGCTAGCTTGCCCTGCGCTCTTCCTTCTGACTATGCTGTCTGTGTGGAGCGCTCAGTGGATCTGCGCTCGACAGTGCAGCCTAGGCGGAGTAGTCGAACGCAGATTCACTGAGCGCTCCACACAGACAGCATCGTCAGAAGGAAAGTTGATAAAATAAATTACAAATGTTGTATTGTTCGATACATATGCGTACCGAACCGAAAGCACTGTATCGAACGGTTCAATATCGATACGAATATCGTTGCACCCCTAATAAATACACACAAGGGTGACAAGGCAAATGGAAACACACGGGGAACACAGCTGAAACAGATGAACATGACGCCACAGCGGAAGAAAAATTAAACAAATTAGACTGTCAAAATAGAAAATACAGAGGTGCAGACTTAAGACACATGACCTTGACATGACATCAGGGAACAGGAGATGGGACACGGGTATAAGAAACAAATACAGAACATGACAGCGAGGGGGAGACAAGGAATGAGATACAAGGGGAAACATGTAAACGAGGAGGAGACAAGACTGGGCACACGGGAAAGAGAGGGAACGAGAGCAACGCAAAGGGAGACAAAGGCATCACAGAGACGCACAAAGGGCGACGGGGACTTAAACACAGGGGACATGACAGACTCCCACACTAAAGACATGAAATTACAATAATCATAATGAGGAATAGTGGTGGGTCGGTCGCGAACGAAATGGCTATTAGAGCCGGTTCTTTGACGTGAACGATGCGAGCTATATTTCTTTTGAGATTATTTACAAGGATAGAAACTGTTAAAGTTTGGAGAAGAAAGAGAGGGATTGTTTGGCCATTGGTTCAGAAAAACACAAGAGTAGTAAAGAGAAAAGAAATGTATGCATATGGGTTGTTGACAACGGCCATAATTAAATGAATTATGAATCCTACCAGAGCAACTAGGTACGTTGCAGTGCTCCCAGCGGGCATTAGGATCCGTAGTGTAACACCACGGTCCATTGCTGTCCCCATCAGGGTTTCTGCAGAAGTTAGACTCCAAATCTGCTTGTGGGTGGCTCTGCGGCGTGAACCTGCAGCAGAAACATTAAGAACAAATCTCACAAAGGCATAAAAGGATATAAAATGATGATGTAAAATCAAATGCAAACACATACTTTGGCCTGTGTGGGTAGCTTGAGTCCCATCTTTGACAGATCTTTCCTGAGTTTGTTCTGGACTTTGTTCCTCTATAATCTCTTCCTATTCCATTTACACACTCAAGAAGATAGTCTAGAAAAGAAAAGAAAAAGAAATAGATTTATTGATGGTTATCACAAATTTCTTAATGTAAATTATTTATCTGATCTGAGTTCTGTGATGTTTTATGAAACTAAATTAAATTACAGCAGTGTTTAACTTTCAGGTGAAGCTGTTTTCAGTGGTGGAGATTCTTCCTCTGTAATTCTCACCACTGCAGACCATACAGTGGTCTCTGGCCTGTTGTAGAGGAGGGGTAGCACAGTGAGCTCGCAGGAGCGGCACGGGGGTGTGTTTGAAACAGGTATGCTGGGTCAGGTTAAATGACACTGCTATCTTTTGGGGGTTTTCCAGTGACAGTGGAGCAGAAGGACGTGTGTGTGGCAGCAGCCTTGGAGAGACTGTTCCAGCGTGCAGAGCACCGAAACAACAGCATCTGCTGCCCACAGATAATAAAAGATAACAGAGTAAACTGCCAACTGTGTGTGTGCGTGGGGTCCTTACCACAGTGGTGCTGAAATCTTGGTGCTATGTCGGACCCCCAGTCACTCCGCCCGCTCCAGATTGTGGGCCAGGTGATGTCTGCACAGCAGGAGGAGCAGCTGGGGGTATTGCGGGACCACTTGGAGTGGGACACCGCTGTACTGGAGCGGCTGATGGGGGCTGCAGCTGTGCCAGCGTGTCATCCCCCCCGCCCCCACGCTGTCGGTGGCACTTCACCGGATGGTACTGTTGGTTAGGGCTGCACGATTAATCATTAGAAAATCGCGATCTCGATTCATACTTATGTGCGATCTCATTTCCAAATGACAACGATTTAAAAAAATTTTTAAAAAAGGCGACGACGACGATTGTACCGCATTTTGGTCCGGGACGTAATCTGCATGAAAACAAGCGCTCTCTCTTCCTGCTCAACAAATGACAAGGGCGGAGCTTAAACCACGTGATACAGAAGCTGTGCCGTGTGATGCTAAAATTAGCAGGGAAAAAAAAAGCAGGTCTAATGCTCAATTCCGATTTTTTTGATCAAATCCGATTTTTTTGTCTGCTTGTTCACACTACAAATAAAATGCGACAGCAAACGCGCTCTAGTGTGAACGCTCAAAGCGGCCCGCATGCGCAAAAGAAGACGTCACACACAACGCGCTCTGTTTAGACCCAGAGCAAACAATATTGTTTGACTGATGGCCCTTAATATAAAGACTTCGGACTTTACGTTTCCCAATTTTTGCTTTAAGTTATTTTGTTATTTACATAATAATGTAGATAACCTAATAATTATCCTTATTGCTGTTTTAGAGGAGCGGTGCTTCAAAGGATAGTTGCAGATTTCTGTCAGAATCTGCAGATTATACAGTACAAATAAAATGTTCACGTTTCTCCAACGTTGTCTTCCCAACAGTTTCACTAACATCTACACTGGATGGCCAGGAAGCGTTTGCGATGTCTTCTCCGGAGCTGATAATTGGCGTCTGTCTTGTGTCAGTGACGTAAAAGACGGATTTAATGCGACATGACCGTTCACACAGTCGCTTTCTAAAACATCGGATATGTATCGGAATCAGTACCACATACGAAAGTGACCCAGATCGGATTTGAAAATATCGGATTTGTGCCGTTCACACTGTCATACCATGATCGGATATGGGTCGCATAGGGTCCAAAAAATCGGATTTGATGCACTTTCGCCTGCAGTGTGAACGTAGCCTTTGTGGACTGCCAATTACGCTGAGTTCCCGCTGTATTGAGCCTATCCATGTCTTCATTTAGTCCAAGGTTGAGGTCACCTCCAAGAACAAGTGTGCCATCTAAGTGTTCAGAGAGTGCACTGAAAAAACCGTGAAAGAATGAGGGATCATCAACATTTGGACCATATACACTTGCAATACATAGCTTTTTATCAAGTATAGATAGTTTAATGATTAAGAATCTGCCCTCTGGATCTATAACTGTATCGAGTACTGTGAAATTAATATTTTTATGTATTAAAATTGCTACTCCCCTTTGTCTAGAATTATAACAAGCTGAGAACACATTGGGAAACTCAGGTGTTTTAAGTTCATTCGAACCTCTAAGAGGTCTGTGGGTCTCTTGTAAAGGACAACATCTGCCTGTAGTTTTTTGAGTTGGTTAAATATTTTTAACCTCTTTTCTCTGGAGCCAGCTCCATTTATATTCCATGTAATGAACCTCAGTGTACCCATAGATGTTTGTGTATAACTAGGGATGTATGCTGTGTGCGTCGCTTAGACAGGTGGAGAGAATACGTCACTTGTTCATAAATAAAGAGAAGGAGAGAGAGAAAAAATGTGTGGCGAGATGCTCCCTGAGTCTGACTTTGTGTATGCATAGTTACTAATATGAGTAGGCTTGGCTTAAGTGTGTGTATCCTAAACGACTGTGTGCGCTGTCTGACTGAAGTAAATGTGCTGCCGTTGAGCGCATGGTGCGTATGTGTCGAAATAAAGGATGTTTGTGGATGAGTGTCGAAGCAGGTGATCGAGGCAGTGAAAGGAATAAAGAAAGAAACCAAGGACAGGGGTGAGCAGCATAAAACCAAGAGGGGGAAAAGAGAGGGAAAAAAAACGAGAAGAAAAAAAAACAGAAACAAAACGTAAACATTCCAATTAAATCACTGACGGAGAGTGACGGTGTTAATTCTGCTATGAAATCACACTTTAAGATGCGATTTGATACTGGTAAGTTAAACAGATGTTAATGCAAGTTAGTGTGAGTGGATAGGGAAATGGTGTAGCTGATTCTTATCTGGTGTGAGGTTAATACAGCCACGGAGTGATGTTGGGGTCGCGGTGGAGCTGTCCGTCCACGTACAGCCGGTCCACAGCGATGACAGCGCGGGAGCCCTTCTGGATGAAGCCGCGTCGGATTGGGAAGAGGACCCTGCGTCGTTCCAAGATCTCTTTGGGGAACTGGTCGTTCACGCTGAAGTCCGTTCCTTTTAATTCCCTGCCACGGCTTTTCACATGTTGCTTTTGTTTGAAGTGGCCGAATTTGGCCACGATAGGACGTGGTCTCCCGGCCGTAGCCCGAATGGGGCCGAGGCGATGTACCCGATCGAAGACGATGTTCTTCACAGTGTCCTCCGGCAGCTTCAGGTGGGTTTTGATGAAGCTTTTTACCGTGGTCTCCGCGTCCTCTCCAGCGGCTTCTGGAATACCAGAAAATACCAGATTATCACGCATGCTACGAGCTTGTAGATCGATAACTGTTTCTTTTATTTTTTTATTTTCTCTATTGAGCTGGGTAACATTATCTGTGAGACATTTCACCGACTCCCTTAGCGTGGCATTTTCAGCAGCAAGCGTTTCCACCTGCTGCTGGCTGTACTCCAGGGATTCTCGCAAGCATTTAAATTCTCGGTGAAGAATCTCCACCAAGGACAGCCTTGCGTCGAAACTGGACAATCGCTTGTCGATTGACTCCAGTATGTCAGCAATATCTTTGCCGGCTGGCGATGTTGAGCCGGGGGAATCTGCCGGGCGTTGTCTTTTCGACGACGGCGTCTCAGGTTTGGCCGGGGAAGCTGCACACTGGGTCTTCTTCATCACGAGATCCTGAAAGCACTGATCAATATAATCTTGGAGAGCCTCTAAACTCTCCTCGTTGTTCTCCAGGGTGTTGGAGATTATTTAGACAAATAGTGTTAGTTATAAGACAATTGATAAGTGTATTTGGTAATACTGAAGCTTAAATGAATTTGTTCAAATCTAAACTACCATTTGCTTTAATTTTCCGCCAAAATCTCCGGCGTCTGACGTCAGTTACAACATGAGTCGCTTACCTTGTCCGTCACTCGATGGGGCTGTGGTAGCGATCCCAATGTGTGGTGGCATCGGGCAACCCCTTCACAAATTGCTCCATGACCACCAAGTCCAGCATACGGGCGTCTTCCTACATGCGCCCTGGACACAGCCACCTCGCCTCGTCTTCGAGCTGCCTTGCCCATGCTATCAGCCGTTCCCCTCCCGGCATCTGACCAGCGTGGAACTGCTGCCGGTAATCCTCCGGGGAAAGACCAAGGTGACTTAATTCCGCCTGACAGACATCTTAATACACTCCATGGGACGCCGGAGGCAGGCTCAGGGCAGCTGTCTGGGCTTCACCCAACAACAGAGGCAACAGCCGTGGTGCCCACTCTTCCTCCGGACAGCAGCACCCCAGCATTGTGGCGTGAAAATTCTCTATAAAAACGTAGGGCTGCACGATTTTGCATAAAATGAGAATCACGATTTTTTGGCTTAGAATTGAGATCACGATTCTCTCACGATTTTCTTTTCCAGTATAAATATTTATTGCACTTATTAACTGCACATCAACTTCGTAACAGTTGAGACTGAACATAAAAACAATAAATAAACATAAAAACAACAAATGTCTCACGTTTTGTTGTTGCCGCAAAATGTTGTACTGCTTGAAATTCCGTCTCCACCGTTGCTCGACACTGCGTGTATAGAGCAGGTAGTGCAACAATAGAAAAATAGTTGCGGGACGGCACTGTGTAGCGTTTGTCTAGGGTGTTGATCATTTTCCTAAATCCCTCGTTTTGCACAGTGTTGATGGGAGCCATATCTTTGGTCAGGTGATAAGTGATAGCCTCCGTAATTTCTTTGTGCCTGCGGGAGTTCGACGTTATAGGGAAGCGCTGTATAAGGTTCCCGTTATTGATGTTTGGGTGGTTGACCGGGACGGATTTTCTCCTGTCACTTTCTCGTCATCCCTGACGTGCTCTCCGTTG